CCACCAACGAACTGCAACGAAGTTGTAGAGGATCAACGGTCACAGCATTACCTGTGAATCGATTTTATTCAGTACTACAAATTCGCCCTTTTTCCACTTCAAATTGTTACGATGGACCATCGTTGTAATACGGAATGGTCCATTACAAGAAATAGTGAAATAGTTTAGCATAGCTAACGAAACCCTTCCTATTCCAGCAGCAATGTGTTTAAGAAATGAAATCCAGTAAAAGCAGTACATAGCAGGAACTATTTGCTTCTAGATGATTAACGCAACTTCTCTTCTGTAAGTCCTTAATGTTCTCAACTCCACCAGTTCTTTAGTCGTCGAAAGTCTACTGTTTATAGTCGGGAAACCAGGACTGCCGTGTTGAAACCGCGGACGAGTTCACCGTTGTTCTTCGCCTCCTCGAAATCCACGCCGGTCGTGTGTGGTCCATTCTCTTCCCACATGTGGTCAAGCAAATGCCGTCCTTTATTTTTCTTCTGCTTAACCCTAAGTACGGTGAAGCTGACCCTTGTCTTTCGCGAGTCGTTGCTTCAAAAAGGAGTTACAGTTAGTCACAATAGTAACTGTTACAGAACTGCAACAAGATAAACTTACTCGTCATATATAAGGTGACGTGAGTGTATTACTCTTCAACGAGTATTTGAGCTGTATTTTTGTAGTGGTTATCGAGTTGAACTAGCCAGTAGTTTGTACTGGATTGCGACCTGACGTGATTTGTCTGGCAGTTTCGTCTATAGTTGGAGTAAAGATTCATGTAAAGATTACTTAGTCTCACGATATGCTTCTGTATCGTCTCTTGATCATTCCACCATCCCTCGTCACTGTTCTTCAGCTTCATTCTGTGTCATTTCTTGGTCATACCATCGTCTCTTATTATTGTTTTCAACTTCATATGCCTTTCCGTGAGAGTGTGATAGGCGACTGCGAAGAGATGGAAACACAAAATGACAAGTTACGAGAAGTAGAATCATATGCTTTTTGAGCTGGCCTTTTTGCCGATGTCAGAATCGAGTTATTATCGAAATCTCGAGTTATCACCGAAATCCACATGCTTTGTTTAATCGTAGCGATTTCTATCAATAAGTTACTAGGTTAATCGTGGACTCAAGCTCGAATCTGTTTGGTCGAACTTGATCGTTTCAGGTTTGTACAGACCGGAAGCGACATGAGGGGTGGCGGAACAAGCAGACCACCGGCTGACGCAGGGTTGCCGTATGATATGAAGACACTATTGGAGGCATTCCAGACGAAAAATTCATTAAGGTTCTGTGCAATCAAGCTTTGTTTTTTCTGTCTTCTTTATTGTAGGTCCGTTATTCGGACTTCCACGATCTATCACGTTCTTTGGATTAACTATGAATGTAGACATTTTAAGTGGAACGATCAATATCGTGCAATAGAAGCAGAATTTACCGTCACTGTTTAGATAAACGTACATGTTCTGTGCTTACTGGTGTAAGTCTCTTATCTTCAATCGATGACGGTTCCAGATTTGTGGATTTTTTCGATGTTGCTGTTGACTACGGACTCAAAGACATCTATGGTGGTCGTATGAGTGTCGCCACGCTCATCGAGGTTTTTAACTAGTACTTTAGTAGAGATTGAAAAGATCTAATGGGTTTGATCCCGGTTTTTTAATCTAGGCGATTTAGGAAATCTGTTTTCGTTACAGTTTGAAGAAAGCGTGTTAAATGCTGCGTTTGCTTATGTCCGCCCACGAAAGGAATATGAAAATGGTTTGGGAGAAGCGCGCACATTGAAGGTATTACTTGTTGTTTTGTGATTAATCTGCCCGAGAAAAGAGAATTTATGCTGGGGGTCCGCAAAACCAGTGCAGACATCCCATCCAAGTATCGAAGGAAGTATTAGATTTATAGGTGCGTATTTTCGGAGTCTATGCGACATTCGTACTCTACTATGCTCAGCCTATTGATTATGTTACACGGGTAGGCTGTATCTAGCTTTACGTTGTCATTTTTTTAGGTGGGGGTGGGGGGGGGGGCGTTGAAAGATACTTATTTCCAGATCCGAGCTACTCCAACTGACATTCATGATCTTCAACAACTTGCTACTCTCCTATCTTTGCGATGCTTAGAAGCCTATGCATTTCTTCACAGGCTTGTCTCAGATCATGCATTCACAATGGTTTCACATGTGAAAAAGGTTTGTCTCTTTCCTATCTCTTCCTTTTTTTCTGCACTTTGTCCTAACACCTAGTTATTGAAGCATGACCTCTCACACCACCAGCAATATGAGAAGCCCAACCCAGTCGAATTATTCCTAGATGAAGAAGAAAGATATGTGCCGTTGGAAGCCGTTAAGGAAATGATCGATGATTCAATCCCGAAGGTATATTTTGAAATATCTTTGAGAATAACTGAAATGTTTGGGTTCCAGGCCATGACGTTCGCACAACAAGAAATGGAACGTAAGCAGAAGCTCATTGGAAACGACGTGGTTGTGGCCGAAACAACAAACAACTTTCTAGATAAAATGATGAGGTGTGTAAATAGTAGCAATGGGTATTTGAATAAAAACCTAGCACTCCGAAGGTGGAAGGTAACTTTCAGAATCTACTCTTCTCTCAAGTACGAGTTCAGCAAGATGGATCAGCACGTATATGAGGTGTGATGCTTCCCTAGTAGGTGTTGTTCTCCATGAATTACTGAAAATGCATAGTATTTTACCCGTTAATGTCTGTATGGTGCCACATCGAGTTTTGTGTCATATTTTGAGTTCACTAACGTTTTTAGTTTAGTAAGATTCACAGTGAGAAACTCAAGCAAGGACCACTAGGGTTTCTTAAACTGGCTCTTAATTACGCTTCGCAAATTTAAGTGTGGTTCTTTTGCAAAATGTAGATGAAATTCTCTGCAGATATCGAATTTCGTCCATGTTTTTATGCACTTTTCTCTTATTGCTTGATCATTTCCCAGGACGCAGCTCTCACTTAACTTCACCATCCCGATCTGATCAACTTCCAGTACAAGCTTGTTGTATACCGTTTCGTGCGATTTGAGTTCTCGTGACTACCGTAACATGATGTGATTTTGTTATATCAGATTGTTTTAACAAAGATAAGTTTGGAACCTGCTCTCGAGAAAAAATCTCTTGTCTCTCACTCTCTCCCTCTTTCTTTCTTTTTTCTCTCTCTCTTTTCTCTCTCATTCTCTCTTTCTCTCTCTCTCTCTCTCTTTCTCTCTCTGTGAAAACCATATCCATTAAAGGAGGTGCATAAGCGCCCACAGGTACCTTCTGCCTCATTAGTTTCATTTCGCTGTTAGTATTCTTTTCGATTTGACATTTGTACATCATACTACTTCACTAGATTGCATAGCTGCTCTCTTATCTCAGCCGAACTTCCTAATCTTTATTGTTGTTTATTGATTCTGTCATTGTTTTGTCGTTTGTACTGCTTTCGTATAGTTATATCCTTATTGTGTTATCGATGTTATTATTGAATATAAAGCTAATTTGAGATTTGCTTTGTCGCAGCATCAGAATATCCCGTTTGGATAATCCGTGCGAAGCCGAGAATTCTATTCCTAGTCAGTAATTGCTTGGCTCTGACTGGCAATCGACTCGAGTTACTGTATTTTACGGAGCTGCTCAGTATAGAAGACGTCAATAAACTTTGTTTAAAGTTTGGAACCCCTAGTCCACCAAACCAGCCTGGTACCAACTTGCCGTCCCCGGATATATGGAAGGCTAGGTGGGCCGTGGGTGCGGGGATCGATTTCACGTGTGTGACGCAGGGCGCCTCCAACCACTGCTCCGAACACGCCCCGAGGATTTCAGATAGAACACTGTAATATCGCGTAAATATTGAACAATTGATTTTTATTACGTTTATTTAGGAAGGCTGTTTAGTTAAGTGGGGAGGTAATGGAAGTTCGTGAAAGATAAGAAACCGCGAGATGGAAAATAGCCTTAAAGAGCTGGAACATGTTATGCTCGTAGGTTCCTCGGAAGTTTCAAAGCGAATGAGAGGGGAATATGCAATTGAGAAAGACTTATAGGAACAATTTGTAAAATGGTGGAAGAACTTCAAGTAAGGTAGATCTTTTGCCGCTTAATTCGTTGTGTTCCTGAAATTGAAGGGAATGTCTACTATGATGAAGTTTTTGTTCCTGTTGTTGTTCTCACTGCATCGCGCTCATTAGGAAGCTGTAGCAGTAATGCGTTAAGAGGGATCAATTCTCACAATTAAAGGATATTGGTTGATGTCAGCAAGTTGATGTCCGGCCCTTGATCATAGGACTGTTTTCCTTATCATTAATCTTAGTGTCAGGACTTCTTTGACAGGTCGGAACTATTCTACTGGTATAACTTCAATGGTGCTGAGATATGGGGCTTCAGCTTAACTGGGTTCGTAGCCGATTGGGGCCTCCCAGATCAATCCCGTTGACGGGTGATTGCTGATGGTAGTGATCGATAGAAAATTAGCTAAGACAAGCGAAACGAAGGACCTGCGTGAATACGGTGGTGAACACGTCAGCCTCCAGAAAGGGTAATAGAGCGTTCGTTCCCCATCGCAGACTTGCGTGTTAAGTTTTATTTGCTGAGGTTATGGGAAATATTTGACTGAGTGAGCTGTGTATCAATTTAACCTTTCCAGTCTGTGAAAAAGGCGAAACCGCCGAAACGTCAGGCAGACTGCACCGAATACGTCTCGTTGTTAACAAGCTCGTGTCTGCTCATCAAAAAACAGCGCATTATTCGAAAGTAGTGGATTTCTTCGTTGACGCCGAATGCAAGTTGGGCGACCACTCAATTTGCGGTTTATTTTATGTATAGCATGGCCTCCAGATTTCGTCCATCTTAAAAGCAACGTACCTTCAATGAAAGAATGCTTGGAAATATCACAAAGCTAGATAGGGCGTTAATCAGTCCAACAAAGCCCAAATGGCATCGCTTACTGGTCCTGATAACAAAGTCGTTATCACCACTCAATAGATGTATCGATTGAAGGCACATTTTAGTAGTGAAGAATGCAGGTATGTGGTGGTTATGTCTGCTTCTTAGTGCTTCTGACTAATGCTTGTGTACAGGCTGGAGATATGGACATCAAGGACACTAGTGATGAAATGGCCATGGAATTACGAATGAGAGAAGCAAAAGTACAATGTCTATAGATTTCTCTTTCTACACACTTATCTCGAATTACTAGTCCATACTAGCGAGTTACCTACCGGACGATCTCTTGCCATTTTTGTGGACAGTTTTACTTTGCCCATTTACAACTGAAATGTTTTTCGGTGAATCCCTACAATTTTTTACTAAGTGCTTTCAAGTGCTGTCGAAAGCAAATTCAAAAAGCTCATAAACATAGTTATATTGTTGGAACACAATTTGTTGATTAGAGAATCATTACATAACGATCAATGAATCGATATAGAGTGTGAGACTTGGCATTGTAGTACTTCTGCAATAAGTCCACTTTCATCAAGGCCGCATTCATTACTACCTTATGACTGATGCATTAACACACGATGGACGATGAGCATTGATCTCAATGCACGCGGTGCTATAGTCGGGGCAAATTTCGATTTTGTGTTAAGGAATCTCGGTTCGTAACATAGAACTGATCTAGTGCTCCAGTTATGCATAAATGTAGACATCTTCCTAAGTCAACACAGCGCTTTACAAATGTGGAAATTTCTGGACGTCGTTATAAAAATAAATACCCTCTCCGAAATAAGTCTTATTTTATGTATATCTAAAATTAACGTGCTTAAATGAGCACATTTCGTTTGGTTGTATATGCACTTTGCCTTTTCCTTCATACTTCAGCTTCATGGGATTATTTTTAAGGAAACCAAGAGTGTACTACACCGTTTAGACATTCGAAACGACGGAGGAGAGCAAGAGAGACATTACCATTGCTTTGAATATATGGAGACAGTCATTAGAAGCTGAGAATAAAAAAGTATGTTCAGTTGCTTCGACGTTATGAAGGCCCCAATGTCCCTTTGAGATGACTTCTACATAGGTCACGTTGTTGCGAATATGTTGAGTGCAATCTACGTAGAGACTTCAGCGAATTCCACCGATTAAGCTTCCCATGGGGAATTGATGTCATCCTAGATCATATTTCTAATAAACAGTGTTATAAATTATAGCGATTACAAGTTACAGACTACACAGACGTTAACTTTAGTTGAAAGAGGTACTACCGGTTGTGCGACAAAGATGCGAAGCCTTATTGAAGCAACGGAACACGCTTGCGGAAAAGATCAACAAACTAAGAGAGTCGTTAGATCTCTCCACCTACACCACGAAGGTACTCTAGTCAAGTAGCGTTCTTCTCATTAATACTTTTCTCATACGAGATACTGCTGATAATTCACGGGATGGTAGTGAGATCCTACCAATACAACGTGGGTTTATCACATTGTCGTCGTTCCTACCATTATCACTACGTTGTCCCTCATATGGTTATTTCAAAAGCAATTACATGTAGACGTTAACAGTTTCCTATGTTCCTGTTCTGCCGATACAAAACTGCTCATGTTCAACGTCCTGAAACATTGTTGGAGTAAGACAACACCACTAAGTAGTAACAGAATGCTAAACCTAAAGGCGATATCTGACTTGTCAAAAACCAACAACGAGATGACATCCCAGATTTTCGGTATGAAAACGACATTCTCGGCATTCTTAGTGGAAGAAATGAGTCTTTAATCCTAAGCAGACACGACAATGCTAATTTTTTTCAACACATTCGTGATATTATGGTTCACTTACAGTGCGTAAACAGGTAGACAATTGAGGCGATATGACACATACAACACATATTTTTTCCAAGTTTTCCTATCATTTTCTTTGAAACACTTTTTTCTCTGAACAGGTACCTCCGTAACACTGTTGAAGTACAGAGAGTGGCTTGAATGAAGTTGTTTTCTAAGGATTACAATTTACTTAAACTCTTACTAGTACGACTTGTTCGTATCCGTGGATCTCGGGACGATTCTCAGCTTACTGTGTAAACGAAAAGGCTGAATAATACGGGGACTGTTGTTGGTGAAGATGGTATTAAGATGTCTTTGCTGCACATGTACATCTAAGCCTGACACCTACGTGTAGCTTGTGATATATTGAACCATTGATGAGACGTTCACCTCTCTGCACATACAGTTCGAACCCGAACGAATAGGTGTAAGAGAGTAACTAACTATTTAAGCTATGGAGAGGATAACATATTGTCCGGATCTCAGAACTGCTCTCATTCCTTTCGTTGTCCTGCATCCATCATTCTCGAAAGCTTTCGGGTTTGTGTGTTCGACCGCTACTTGACGTATTTTCTTACTGTTGTTAAACGCTAATACAGTTTACTCTCCTTGGAATCCTGGGATAGCTCTACTAAAGCATTCCCTGGTCTTCATCAAGTACATTGGACAACTTTGGCCGAATAGGTGGAAGCTTTTTTCAGGTAAATCTGGCACAAATTTGCAGACTTCGGAGTGATACAGAGCCTGGTTAGCTCACTAGGGCGCGAACCAGTGGATATGGTGCGCACATTGCACGGCTTCTTTAAACACATAGCTTACCACACATTCGGATGAGCGTTGAAACCATTGAAAAGCCAAGCGCTCAGATCATCGTCGAGATGAATATGACACTCTAATACTGGCACTTGTGCTATTGTATTGCGTTCTCAGAAAGATATCAAAGAGCAGGAGATCGAACTTTCGTGCGAGGTTTCCTAATCCCGACCCGCCTAAACTTTTTTAAGTCGATATCATCATAGCTGCGAAAGTCATTTTTGTCAGGTTGAGGCAATAGTAGACATTGCTCGTAAGGAATATTCACCCAACCCTTGCTATAAAGGTGCTAATTCGACTACGGAGCTCACTAACCTTACCGTCCGCCTGGAGTCAGCAAATTTCTACCAGGCTTGCTTGAGAGCGGCACACTCCCCCCAGTCCACGTGGGAACGCCCTTGCAGGGCTATTCCAGTTCTCCAGAAAGAGCCTTCTCGACTTGAACAATATTGTTAACAGAGACGAAGGTCCTCAAGTAGCAGCCAAATCAACACGCGAAAAGTACGCAGACTTCCGTCAATGGTGGATGCTAGATTTGTATCGGATGCAAGAAATGATCGGATCGGCACAGTTTATGCAAAGATGGGTCATGTGAAACAAAAATAAATATAATGATGCTAAGATATATTTATTTATACGATCTTATTAATTGATCTTCTTAATCCTACTCTTACTCTCAACGACATATTTCTCCCAAAATATCCTCTGTATCGCCTATCCTACGATCGCTATACTAGCGACGATAGTATGGCAAAATATTTATTTATGTGATCTTATAAACTGATCTTAAGCTGATGCGAGATTGGTATAGGTCTTCGTTGTCGTTGTCGTTGCTCTTGATGTTGTTGCTCGATGGCTGACGTTTCGGCGATTTCGCCTTCCTCAGAGCTGTTACGAGTGGGATTCATCAGCTTAAGAAGATCAGTTTATAATATCATATAAATAAATGTATCAACTATCTACGCCGAAGTTTATAAAAAGTCGGTCTTTTGAGATGCTAAGATATTTGCAAAACTCCGAACCACTGGTATCTGCGGTAGGGACCGAACACGCTTTTACCCTTTCCAAGAGCTAACGCGTTCACCACCACACTATGCGAGTCCTTCATTTCGCCTTTTTCTCGGCCGCTTTATTGACCTATAGATGCTATCAGCAATCGGCCGTCAACGGGAATGATCTGGGGTGCACGAATCGGCATTGAACCCAGTCAAGCTGAAGCTGTGGTATAACTCACAATGTTGGCACTTTTTATTTTCTGCCTACTCTTTTTTAATGGCACGGTGTGTGAAATATAACCATAATGACGCTGAGATATTTTTACCTATAGATAAAAATAAAAAGATGTGAAGCCATGCAGTTGTTCCTTTTTTGATTGCAGAGTGATCCTGATGACAATGATGTGAAGACGGCAAACTCGTTTTCATTGGAGGCGTTGGAGTATTCGAATGTGTCAACGTGTTCTCCTTTGCCATCACAAGTCGGTCCTCATCTATGATGATCAAGTCCATGATACTGCTTTTTCTTCGAGCTCACCACTTAGACATTTCTAAGCAATAAATACAAGGGTTAGCTCTCTGTGGCATTCGTGAGTTGAAACCTAACGGTCGGATTTTATTTAATCTTTCACCATGTTTTGAATTTGGATTTTCCGGAAGCTTTTTTTGTACAGAATGCGACACACACACTGAATTAGTCTTGTAAGCGTCATGAAAAGGAAGCTGTTACTACTATTCATCGATCTGCTACTACAAGGAGATCCAACTTTTGCAGTTATTGTCAATTCACCCTAGAAAGAATCAAAACCGAAATTATTGTGGCCGTCGTACTACAGAAAACGCCAACTACAACTCGAGCAACTCGTACACTTTCTTTGCAAAAGCCCATTATTATTCCCAAGTAAATTTTGGAATTTTTTAAGCTGGTTATATTTATGTGAATAATCTTGGAAGCTCGTATGAAATGCTGAGATATTTGCAAAACTCCGGACCACAGGTGTATGCAGTGGCGAACGAACACGCTCTGTTGTCCTTACCGGGGAGCAGCGCACTTCACCACTACACCATCCGGGTCCCTGCCATTAAGAAGAAAAAAGGCAGTAAATAAAAGAGTTAATCTTGGAAGCATCGCGTTAATGAGAGGATTATTGAGCTCTGCAACTACAACCTTTTGTGACGGTTGATTTTCTGTGGTTACCTATCGCTCCTCCGTATCTACTCTTGGGTGGGTCGACTGGCTCCTCCGTATCTACTCTTGGGTGACTCAACTATCACGGATTTCGGAGCACGACGTGAGCTATATGAAAATTTTACAGCACAAATATCACCATTCTACAACGACAATGACATCGATTTCGGAAGAGGGGTAGACGAAGAGATACAATCTTAAAATTATTTACCCCACCTTCGAGAACGTCAAGCGAACGCTGAAATGGGACAACATAGGAGTGTAAATGGACGATCGACGATTGCAGCATCTTCTCTTTGCTGATGATATCGTGCTCTCATCGTCGAGCATTAAACACGCGCAACGAATGTTGTTCGACGTCGACAACGCTTGCGGAAAAATGGTCTTTCGAGTGAATCTCACAACCAAATTTGTTTCTGATACTTCTGGTTATTCTATGGCTAGCCATGCACAAATTTTAAAAGAAAATCTTTAAAACCTCGACAAACGGGTTTTTAATGAAAATTATTAATGAATTAAAAAAAAACTTTATTTATGGAAACTCAGATCATCCACGACTTTCCATTAGGACGACATTTAACGCTTCTTCATCACAGTATTCGTTATGCTATTGGTTTCGCTTTTTCTTAAACTAGTAGGTGGGTGATGGATGTTTGCTGAAATATCCACTCCTTGTTTTACTTTCCCAGCACGCACAACAACTGAAGGATAGAAAGAATTAAGCGGTGTACAATTGCTGAGGGATGCGCCATGCATTCGATTCCACGCACAGCATCGCTGAGGTGATTGAATGCATATCCGGCCTGTTGTGCACTGACTTGCGTTGACCTACCGATGCACCGAGTCAGGGTTTCTGTTCCCATAAAAGTTTGGTACCAATTCTTCGACCTCGGAGGGTGGAATGCTAGGCGAGCCTGGAACGCTGAATTTCACCAATGACGGATCCGACGTGTGTTTTAAGGCATCTCTAACCACTACACTGCATACACTCCGTTAGAACAATTATTCCATAAGAATTTATGAAGAAATGTAGCAATAGAGAAAAACTCCGGCATATGTCGTGAGCTTGTGGAAGGTATTTTTTAGCTCCATTTTATCAACCATTTTTCTTGTGCCGTCACTATAACCTCCGTTTCGATTCCATCTCCTTATTTTAAACATGTACTCCAACGAACTCAGTAGCTGGTACACGGATCCTTCAGGTTCGGAAGTTGAAACTGACAGTTGCATTGCTACTGCAGTAGTACATGAACCACTACTTAAGCATGCTTCAACCATCTCGACATCCATTTGCTTAGAAAAAGAGAAATCACCGATGAGCACGAGGACTCATGCGTTAATTCATCACATTTTCAAGAACAAAATAATCTTTTAGCCTGATAGTAATGCGTCGTTTTCTTGTTCAGCAATCAGCAAATCACCGTAATCATGTAATTAAATAGCTATTTAACAACCTCACGATTGCTGAACAAGAAAACGACGCATTCATATACCAGTGCTAAGGTTAATAGAAAGTCGATCCTGGGAACTTGGTAGTAATGCTTCTCATGAAGCCTCTGTTACAATTATGATAGTTTGGAATATAAAACCTTTTATAGAGAATGGGGTCTCACGGTTAGTCAATGTAGCGATACGTGAAGATTGTCTGCATGGTGCTGAACCTGTTGAATAAGATCACTGGCACGCGACTGGAACTGGATGCAATGGGACCATCGCTGCCTTCGGTCGAGCAAAAACTGGAAGAAAAACAGCGAATGTTTAGCTTTTCTTTATTATGTATTGTTCTTTCATGGAAAGATATTATGTGAAGTGCAACTACAATGATGAGCATAACACTGGGCCTCAACTGAATTTCAAAACCGCCATTACCCCTTCAGGGGGCTCACGTGGTATCCACCATACCAATCGAGGCCCGTGCTTTGCACTTCTCTCAGCCAGTTTTTGCTCCAACTGTGCCATCAACAACTTGCAGAATTGTGATAGGAAGTGTAGTGTTCCAAATGTCCACTATTACCGATAACCTGTCAACCTCTGATCCTCTTGAGCTTTGATCTCGACTCCTCCCTTTCGGCATCCGCCTACATCATAACCGTGAGAAATCGAGCGGACATTCACTTCGATTCGTTTCCCCTCGGGTGCCTGAACTTTGTTATTTATACCTCAGCTCTAACGATAGTGAAAATAGAAACAGTCTTACCGTAATCATGTAATTACAAAAATTGAACTCATCCCTGATAGTTGTCCCAAAACCTAGTCTGTAGACGACCGATTTTGTTTTATTTGTCGCCATAAGATCTTCTCCACATCCCGACGGCTGCAACGATTTAGTTCACTTTTGTTTTCGGTATTACGATAAGCCTTGGTACTTTTCCTCACCCGTCGATCACACAGGATGCCACCGTAACCACCTGGACATATACATCTGGAACAGTTTCGAGGGTGAGGAAATCCTCCATTAGCACATTTGGCAGATATAGACATGTCACATTTCGCTAAAGAAGTAGACCTTTTTATCGTTGCAATCTACTGAAAAGTTCGCTCGTAAGCTCGACCATTGCATTCATAGTGTTGATTGATCACGAAGATATCGGAGAACGCAATCAGTTCTGATCCCATTGTGTTTTGATGACGTCGATCTCTTGCAAGAATGGTGGGCCGTTTGTTCTTAGAACAGCTGAGAAAAACGACGATAATAGTAGGCATGACAAAAAATCTCAAACGCATATTACAACCCTAGATCGTCATAGTGCATGATACTGCCGTAGTCGTACGTGAGTCCATAGACATCGATGTAGTTACGGCCTATTATCTCGAACTCTAAGAGCATATTTGGCTAAATGCACACTCTATGAGCAGTTTTTTATGCACCACAGTCACTTACATTTTCATAACAACTCACGTTGATATTTTTCTTAAAGATTTTGATGTATTTGTCACGGTCATATCTTTCCATTGTGTGAAAAAATCCAAGAACATGACCGATCTCATGCACAGCTGACCCTACCTAAACTCTTAACCTGACTTATTGCGGAAGCATTCACGAATAAACAGAAATGGAATGAACAAAACGATTTGGTATTCGAATTATAGTACTAAATGCTTCACACCGTCGGATCATCTTCACCAAGAGAAAGAATTTGATCTCCACCGCATCGGCCGATACGCGAAAACGATTCAGGTTTTTTAACCACAACCACTTTATCGTGGGCTGCAAAGAAGTCGAGGTAAAGAAATTTCATCCGTGGCCCGTAAGTTGTGGCACGTGAGGCAAACCATTTTTGTTTTCTATGAAGTCGATACAAGTGACTTCACTCCACACCTTTGCGCCCATTTTGAACAACTTTTGCACTACAGGGTCTAAAAATTTAAATCATAAGCATGAAAAAAATTAGTCCAACAACATAAAATCCACAAAAGTTATGTGAAGTAGTGAACTCAGGTGGCCCTGAATTGTCTGAAATCCAGGGAAGCATCTACAATCGTGAGATAAATGTTGTTTTAAGCGAAAATATGATGAATCCAGAGTAAGTTGAGCTTTCCTACTTCTTCTGCCCTTTGTACTGCAGTCATTATCTTTTTTATGAGAACAAATCGTTGTCACATTTTTCTATTCTGAGAAGAGTTGTGATCCTGTGGTGAAAAGAGCAAAGTTGAAAGCAGTGTTCGAAGTATGAAGAGTACATTTGCCGAATTACCCGATGTGTTGAATGTATAGAAGACGCCGTTCTTCCACGTTGAGTTTGGATAGGCTTTGTGCTTCATTACTTGTCTCTTTCTACGATCACCATCTGTCATCATATGTTGAAGACTTTGTCTGATTGTTTCCTGAAACGAACCCACTCTAGAGCTTTGAAGGCCTTTTTCTATGAATTAAAATACTTTGTCGGAACGACGTCACTTTGAAACAGAACTTGTTCAGTTGCTTCTCCAGGACGGATTTTGGGAATTTATTTGCTTAAATTTGGGACTTAGTCCGTCGATTCTGCCATTATTTCCTGTTAAGCGGAAGCTTTTTTGAAATTTTAAACTTGAATAGAGAGAGAGAGAGACAGATTTGGCTTAACGGCACCTTAAGTTCTTGGTTGATGCCTTGCTCTCTAGAAGGTCTCGAATTTCTAGCCAGTGTCTGCGCTACTATGGAATCGATAGGAATTCCACTGTGATTTTCAGCCTAAAAACATACGTATTGCATAAGTACAAGGTGTCTGTTTACTTGTCACCTTAATCTTTGTGAGTGCACAGTCTTCAGTGCTGTGATAATCTCCATGACCAGATATGATATCCTCTAATTTGCTGTCATTGTTGGTTACG